TTTTTACTTTTCCTTTCTTGGCTTCACAAAAAAAACCTAATAAAATCTAAAAAAAAATACTTTTCTTTCTTCTTGTTGAACAAACCTTGTGAGCGAGTCTATTTTTTTGTTGTCTTTTTTTTGCTCTATCTTTGCGATTTTTGTAGTGGCCCGGCCGCAAAATCCGTTGCGTTGTACCGTTTTTTCGGCCGAATCCGTTGCGTTTTTTTTAATTTCCTGCCTTTGAAAAATTGTATCGTTGCGTTCAAAATGAAATCGGTGACTCTTGTGTTGCGTTATCACCCTGGCCGTTCGGCTTTGAGTTTTGAGCGAGACGTTACCCAAAAACGTCCGACTAACGTAATTCAGCGTAACGGCCCAACGTTGCTCCCATGAAGCCGAGAGGCTGGTGCAAGGTTGAACCAGCTGTACTCGCATGTTGAAAGGTCCCCCTCGACTTTTTTTAACCGTTGTTCAAGAAAGTGTGTCCGCCCACATGTTGCTGGAAAATATGTGTCGAATCAGCCTTCAAGACGTATACAAAGACCAAGCAAACAAATTGTACTGACTTATGGACAGGAGTATTAATAAGAGAACATGCATCGCGGGGGCATGTCGCGAAAGTTGATCAACAGCTGCTCTCACTCGGAACCCGGCCCTACGACCAAAACTGTGGGGATTGCCCTTCTCGGGCGGCGGCATTTTGTGACGCATTTCCGAAGTTGACATCACGATTGAAATCTTAAACTTTAATATAGTTTGCTTTTGTGAGGCGAACGATTTAGAGCGATGACGGGATATTTGCCAGCAAGTTGGTTTTGTAAAATACACCGCCAATGAGCAGATATCTCAGATGTCGAAGAGTGATGGCCGATAAGTATGATTTTCAAATGAAGAGTGATGGTCGATACGTTTTACTATCAAGGATATATATATATATATATATATGACATTGGCAACTCGGTTGAGCAGCCAAATGATACAATATGTGAGAAAATTCGAAAGGGGCGCCTTTGCGTACGCGCAGCTCAGCAGATAAGTGGTAGATGTGCCGCGATCACATCCCTTGTTACCGCGGTGGCTGAGCTAAGCTCAGTACAGCTTTGGATTTGAGCATCAACGCTCACAGCTTTATAATCCAACAAGCTGGGTCTGTAATGACCGAGGCCAAGACCAGGTTCGTGATCCCTGAGAAGGAGTCAAAATGGGTAGGCAAACCAAGGCGTAAAGCTGTTGAGCAAGCACCTGAGCGAGAGTGTGTGGGCTAAATGTGTTCAGTATCAATTGAAGCTACGCAACCTGTGATGAAGTGATCTCCGTCAATCGCGTGACTCAGCGCCTCCTTCGAGGAGGCCTGAATGGAACTGAATCGTCAGCTCAGATGAACGAAGTGAGTATCCATAGTTCACTCCACCTGGTTCACTCACATCTCTATATAAGATCTTGTTCCTTGTAGATATGTATCTTCCTATCACATTTGTGGCCCGTAGACTACGCATACACCAAAACCATTCAGCCCGCATCGTAAAATTTAGTAGAACTGGCATGTTTGAAATGAGTATACCATTGCGTTCGAAGACATCCCACGAGCGCTTATTACAAATCGAAGCGAGCGAAGCCCCCTCGTCGTCCCGTCCAAAGAGATCATATCAGTGTTTACCGGACACCGAATCAAGCAAAGCAACAACCCAAGTCTACCGCCCGATCAAATGCAGTAAAGCGGGAAGAATGGTGAGTTAGTGATATCTTTGAACCTCGTAACTGCTCCCACTAATTTTCGCATCTCTTTGATACCTTTTCGTCTTCCAAGTCTCACCGAAATCCGCCTGACCCATCCTTACAGGATCAGGACCACATCAATCAACTCATGGATGCAGCTGAATTCGCCGACTCTAAAGGAATGTATGCAGACTCTGTTCAAACATATCAGCAACTCCTAAATTTGTATGCCGACGAAATGTCAAGATGTGAGAGCAAACATGGTGCGACCAATAGAGGCCCCCATACGGGATGGATTCTTTCGTGTTTCAATCTTACACGATGCTACTTGAAGCTGAAGCGCCCGCAAGCGGCCTTCGAAACTCTCCAACAAGCTTGGCGCCCAGATTCAAGCCTAGCCATACCTTCCACACATACAAACTATCTGGAACTATCCCATTTGTATTTCGAAGTTGAAGATAGGTTACAGAGCATCTCTCACTCTCATGCGAACTATGTCGGTGGATGTTTTCTTTGGTAATGCGCTCTTGCGTCAGATAACTAACAAGTGAATTTCAATTTTTTACTTTCAAAAGGAGTCTGAATCAGACGTTCGTAAAGATGAATTCACCACCAATGAACTTTTGAATCTGATATGTATGTATGCGGAGGATTTTTTATCTCAAGAAAAATCACACGATGCCATTTCACTTTTGGAAGGGGGGCGAAAACGAATAGCAGAAGAGCAAAAGGTAATTGATAAAAAAATGAAGGAACAAATTATAAGAATTCATCTACTGCTTGTTGAGGCGTATTTGCACATTGGCCAACTGAAGGAGGGCGAAGAAATCCTAAACCAAGTTTGGAATCCTGAAAGTCGGTTCTACATTGACACTCTTGATAAGAATTATCTTTGGATGTCACAGCTTTACAGGCGTGCCATTAATAAACAACAGTGTGACCCCACATCTTGCAGCCATCAAGCCCAAGAACAAAGGCAAAGGACGCTTTACGAGGTGAGTGCATATCGACTGGATATTCCTGCCCCGAAATTCATGCTGATCTAGATCTGATCCTCGAACCAGAAGCTGGCTCTTACGCGAACGGCGGATGCCGCAGTGATCAAAAGCCGTTGGAAACTGTGTATGTTGTATTTTCATCCAGACAAGGGTGGTCACACTGGGGTAGCACAACAGGTGATTTCATTTCAAGCTTGAATCTGAATCATTCCGCTTTTCCGTGTCATTCTGATGCTGGAAAATTTCCGTTCCCTTCAGATTTCGGCGGCCGCTAAAGTTTTGCTTGATCCAGAGAGTTGCTGTCGATATGACTCCAAGTTAAATTATTGGTGATGCCAGAACATATCAGCGGTCTACGCAGGTGTTGAGATGGTTAGAATTCAATGTGTATATATTACTGGCCTTATGCTTGTGTTTGTCTCCACCAATCCCTATATACTTTTTTATCATTGCCATTGCTTTGTGCAAAGCGCTCCCATGAGGTGGGCGGCTATCAAACACTATGACTCAAAGGCCACACGATGATCTACGTAGGTGAAGATTTGATCAACAGAGCTCAAGCTGGTTAATTTCATATACCGGTCACTATAGATAGTTTCGAGTAAAAATGATAGTATTCTTACTCGACTTATTAATAAGCTTGATTTCGATAAAGAAGAAACGGGAACAATGGTCAATAGAAAATTGGACCTTTTGAGTACTTATCAAAAATAAACTTGATGTCTTAACTCATGATGATCACAATTGCGTATGATGTAACAAACAATATGTATACCAGGACATATCAATACATAACCCAATCAGAGTAATTCGACATATCATGAATCCAAATTCAAGGCTATTGTCATGAGATTTGAAATGAGAATGAGCACGTGTAACCCAATATAAATTCGAAATTCGATTCCGAACTTCTCCGTTTGTTATCGCTCTTGTTATCGCTCTTTTGTGATTAACAATCTAAGAAGATATTTCGAGCATTTCAAAGAAAATAGAGGTCAAGAACAACAAAAGCTATAACACTCTTTACCCCACTGGCGAAGCTCTGATGTGATGGAGTGAGTGATAATTTATGATCAACAGGAAGATTGATGTGGATCCAACTATGTAAAACTTTATACAAGGAAAAAAAGTAAAATTACTAAGACAGGTAAAAAAGATGGTGCCAAATGGATCATGGACTAGGCAAGTAGAGCTCCTATGTCCTCTGAGGGTTGCTAACGAAGCATAAATCTCAGATTGACAACACCAGGTAGTAAATCGTGGCACGCTTCAGGCTGAAAGGGTCGGCGAATTCGTGCGATTTGCTTTGAAATTGGTTCCAGCTGCCTGGGTGAGCTGATTGAAGCGACCAATCACCTGGCTCATTGCCCGAAATTCGTCTTCAATTGCTAGCTCACGACATGAATTGTGATTACCTATGATCTCGGACTGATGACAAATTGTGATTAAAGATTTTTCCAGAAACTAGGCAAGATGTAGACACACTGACACGAAAATGTTCCGCGTTTCCATGAAAGGTTACAAGAGCTGCGCGGAGGTCTTCAAGCCTTGTTGCAATAGACCTCAATGTTGATGCGCTTTCCGAAGTCATTGCAATATTCCGAGTGAGCGATTGACTTCCCCAAGTATTGAAGTTTACTAAGCGTTGCCAAAACGGGATACCAGCCCTGATTTTTCGCAGTTGCATGTTTTCTTGTGCAAATTGAGCACCAACGTTGGCTGCGAAATTCGACCCTTGTCTGACCAGAGGAATGGCGGCATCTATCTGCGCTTGCAGCCCGGAAAACCCGTCCGAGATGGTTTGGACCATATCGTTCAATCTGACCTGCGCTGACGTAGTCGAATATACATTGTCCCCACTGGCAATGGAAGTCAGAACAAGCCCGATCACTTCAAGCTTGTCTCGAAGATGACTATTAGTTCGGAGATTGACTATTGACTGCCCCTTGGATGGCATCGATTGTATGCATGCGAGGAAAGAACATACTTACTTTCTGGAAGACCTTTCGCAATACTGATATACTTGCACTATTCAAGAGATTAACCCTGTCTCTCACATCTCTGGTCATCTCGCTGAGGCTCTGAACACTTTCGGAAAGTTGGTCCTTCTTCTCCAATATGTCTGAGGCAGCAATGGCCTGAGAAAGTTCTAGAATTTTGTCTTGGTAAAGACGGACGTGGTTGGGATTTCCTAGGTCAAGGATAGATTCGAAAATATCCCCAGCGGAGCGTGCAGTCGATGTTACGGTGTTTGATAGCAAAGCCACTTTATTCGAGCAATTACTGTCTTTGGGTCCGCAAAAATAAGGACCGCCGATATACGTGCAGTACAAGTTCGACACCTTTGGAACACGGACACTGAAACGCTTTACGAGGTAACGATGGATAGCGTTGGGAATACCAGGAATCGATACCGCCAATAGAGCTAATAGAGCCCAATTCAAAAGATTTACCGACAAAGATAATCAAACCATTATCCTGCCAACGTAAAAGGCGATTTAGTTTATGGGTTAGTCATTAGGTTGATATCAACTACGCATCCTGGGCTTACGCAGATATATTAGATTTATTGCGTGTTTGTAAAGGTTTTCGAGGAGTGCCGAGTAGAGTACGTTGGGAAAAGGTTGGGACACGGATGGACGAAGAGTCCTCAAGAGTCTGAGTCTTCGAGTGGTGCTCTGCATATCCTTTGTAGGTGAGAACCCTCGGCCATCCTTTGTTACCAGATATTCGCTTTACGTATCAAAATTCCAGCTGTTTCTGGAACCTCTGAAATGAGACGAAATCCGCACCTTTCAAGTAAACACGCACTCTGACCCCTAGTTCGAAACTGACTTAGTACTGAGTCGGTTACTGCGCTCTCTCTGGGAACCTCTTTCCAGGTATTTGACTGCGCAAGTGTGTGCGAGCGCTCATCAAGTTGTGTTATCCTGAGCACTAGAAAGGCATCAATGGCAAAAAAGTCGCGAGCGTTAGGCTCAGTAGCTCTCACTCAGAGCATGCGTAGAGTACACGAAAACGTAGCCTGACCCATCATATTTAATGACGAACTATTCTGATCTTCGGCACTTCGACTTCCGAGACTTGAGTGAACACTGTACATACATATCAATTGTCTCAATAATCATCCTATTATTCGTACGAAGCATTGGCTGCATAAGTATGGCCACAATCCCTAATTACGATCCATCGTCATCAAACATGAACCCAGACTGGCTCGCATCCAGTTCGGACTTGTCGACTAACGCGAGTGTCAATGTGTCCGATACCAAACCTCCACCGCTCCATACACCAGATCATGAAGTATTTCGTCGTCCACGTCACGCTCGGCAATTACGGTATATACTATCATGTGCTATCGCACTCATAATGGCTTGGTATTTTTTTCCAGAGTAAATCACTTCTCAGATGTTTGTTTTAGCTGTTAAAAATAGCTCACCGTTGCGCGTACTATGTGTCCTGATTTCGTAGAAGTGCTTTTGCTACACAAGTTGATCAGCTGAAGGAAGCAACAGACCAAATCAAATCAGGTCGGGCCTTGACAGAACTTCGAAAGATCCAACACACCCCGGTCACCTTCATCGAGTCAATGAAGTCTCTCAGCAACCATGCAATTCTCAAACCTGTAGATTTTCTTTCGCTTCGAGAATCATCGGGTGTCCTGAAGACTTTCACGGATTTGTCAGAGTCATCAGCTACTGTGAGCCTGCTGACAAAGGTTTTGGATAACATTGATTTGGTCTCCGACATGACACGCCAGCTCAACGGCAAAGGACAAACTGAGCTTGAAATCTTCATGCGTGAGGTGAATAAGGCCAATGCAAGATGTTTGAGCAGAATATCAACGACTGACAGGATGCTTATGAACTACGCAGTTTATCTTCTGGTTCAATCGTCAGGAAGCTACCAGTGACATGCAGAGCGCCAAAAGGATCCTCGACCGTCATCGTGATTCGTTAAGTATCCTATCAAGGTCTATAACAAGTATCCTTGATACAATTCATATCACGAACAAAGCCAACGAGGATGCAAGGTACCACCTTCACGTTATGGAAAGGAAATTGACTCAAGGTTCCAGATTCAGCCGCATCACAGACGCGTTTGGGTCCACCAGCAGTCAGGCCTTGAACCTAAATCTTCAATCAATCAGAGAAATACTGAGCCAGACGCATGAGATCTCAACATTTTTGAACGAAACAAGACCTCTTCTAAAGTTGTATCAGGACAACCTGCATTCTTGGCTGGTGAGTACCAATTTTGATTATATTGTGCTCCTGATGCTAATCATGATCCATTTAGCAGAATGTGATAGTGGAGCGCCTGAAAAACTCCAAGAACGCCCATGAAGTCAACATGCAATGTCTCATACTGCTAGATGCAATACGCAGTCACGTTGGCCACATATCATTGAGACCACCATCTGAGAAGATTGCATTAGGAAGGGTTCTTGCTGACCAGTAGATCGTTGTTATTGTAATTTAAGCTTTCATATTGTCTTAGTAGTGAAGCTTCAGAATATTTCGGTAAAGGAAAGCTTTTATGAATAGTTGATTTCTGCCATACTTGCAATATTACCCACCCCTTCGAACTTCATCCATTTAATCTCAGTATCTACAAAACATTCGAGCCTCGAGCCTCGAGCTTCGAGCCTCGAGCTTCGAGCCTCGAGCTTCGAGCCTCGCGCTTCGCGCTTCGCGCTTCGAGCCTCGAACTTCGAACTTCAAGCAGCTTCGAGCGAGCTTGAAAGCTCAAAGGTTGACGCTCCAAGCTCTTCCACGCTTACACAAGCTTCAAGCTCCAAGCTCTTCGAGCCATAGAATGCTCTTTCTTTATTGTGAAATTTCTTTTCGGCCTTTTTTTCAAGTAAGGGTTCATGATTGTCAATTAGGACTGTGGTGTTCTACAAAATCAGAAGAATGAACGACTTTCCGTTTGTGATCTCAACTTGCATGAAATGCATTTCCCTCTTTTTGTGTTGTTTTGCTTTTTCTCTTAAACCGGATGTCTTTTCAAATAAACCCCTTTGAAATTTAATTCGTTTTCAAACTTTTTTTTCAAGTAAGGGTTCATGAATTTCAAGTAGAAATCTCTTTTTCTTCGGAATCAATAGAATCAATGACTTTTCTTTTGTGATCTCAAATTGCTTGATTCTTTGGATGAAACAACACCTCTTGCTACTTTTCATTTCCCTCTTTTTGTGTTGTTTTTTCTCTTAAACTACACGTTCTTTCATATAGCAGCCTTTATGATTTCGGAGGGGGGATTGGATCGCAAGGATCAATCCGAAGTTATTCCGCAAATGATGTTGCATCGGATGTATATGGGATTGGGTCGCAATGAAATGACCGGTCTCGTATCGGATCCGGGATTGCATCGGGGCGGGACGGTGGATGGACCATCGCGTGAAAGTTACGCGATGAGACAATTCCATCGCACGTAGGGTTGAGTCGAAGCAGCATTTCGCGAGGTTGAATCGGAATGAGGATCAGTCGGGTGTCGCTCATGCGGCTTTATATCGGAGCTGAGCTCCATCGGATGAGCCCGACTGTTTCTGAATTGGACTGGGGATTCAGTCGCGCCAATCATGTTCGATTGTAGATCGCAAACCTGTTCCATCGCATGGCTTGGGCGTGATACTGAATCGGGGCACTGTCCCCGAATTGACAACGGGAAGGGCTTCCCGACGCAAATTTCTTGGCGGTGCTGTGACGGGTCAACCACAAGTCAGGGTGGAGAAGATCTGCAAGTGAGTACACAAGTAACAACTGTAACCTATCTTTTGAGTATTTATTTTGTGTTGGCAGCTGTGTAAATATTATTGAACTGCTGATTGCATAACAGTGTCCTTCACGCTGAATGAGAGATAAGAATGAACTGAAAATTGGGGCAACACCAATTCTGTAGCTTCTTTTGAGACAGGTGCATTTAGCGGGCGGGCCCACCTATTCTCTAGCCATTATCAAGTATCTGAAAAAGTATAATCTTACTAATAAATTAACCGCCATGACTGCCAAAAATGTCAGTACCAATGCAGCAATTGGGCGAGAAATTTTACAAGCCAAAGGGATTGATTTCAATCACCAGAACCAGCTTCATGGGTGTGTAGCCCATGTGATAAACCTTGCTGTGAAAGAGGGTCTTAAGGCGTTTGGACAGATATTTGATACAGACAAAGACAAGGTTGATTCCTCAAACTCAATTGCTCTTCACTGTCTCATGGACCCTTCCTCTGTTGGACAATTTAATCTCAAGACCATTTATCATTGATGCCATGGTTTTGTCACAAGTAATTTGTCCAGCCCTCAATGTGGTCAACTTGTGGCAAACATTGTACAGACGCGACGTAACCTTGCTAGTTTGACAGCTCAGCCTCCAACTCCCTCAGCAAGACGCAAACCGGCTTCATTGACAAATAGCTGCTGCAACCCCTGCTCCCCATCCTGCTGATGTTGAGTCTCTTGATTACCCTTTAGCAGATCCAACCATTGATGAAGTTGCTCCAGCTCAGCCCAAAAGAGACACTGTGACTCAGTTGATTACCAATGTTCCAACTTGTTGGAACTCTTCAGATCACATGGTCCAACAGATGCTCCGCCTACAAAAATCGTGCAATGAGTTCAGCAAGGGAGATGACTTCAAGAGATATGCACTCTTATCAAATGAGTGGAATTATGTCAAATAAATGTGTGACTTCTTGGAACCCCTCAGCAAAGACACTGAGATGCTTTGCAAGCCAAAGTACACAACAATGCATCAGGTGGTTTCAATGTATACAGTAGTCCTACAAGGACTGAAATCACCAAGTAATATTCATTAATCATTTCATATTTTCAATTTGTTGATGTCAACTAATGCTATATATAGGTGGCTCAAAAGTATGATCACAATCAATTAATCCCTGCTTCACTCAAAATGATATGAAGACTAGAAGATCACTTTCAAAAAGTGCTTGCCGAACCTGCACCAGTCTTTGCTATCATCCTGGACCTACACCTCAAGTTGAATTATTTTCAAGTAGGTTTATTTATCTATTTCTACTTTAAATCTGTACTAATGAGTGTTTGTATTTATCATACAAACAAATGATCAAGCAATGATGTTTTCTGAATATGACCTCCTCACCTTGGATATCAGGTGCATGTTTGAAGTAGAGGCCATCAAATACAATCTTGATGTACCAATACCCCCTCTAACTACCTCCCAGATATCAACTGCTGCCACCTTGACGTCCCAATACTTTGAAGATGCGATTTTTGACACCCAAAATGATGAACACTACCATTCCATTAGCAATGAAATTGCTCAATACCTAGGTGAAAAAGTTGAAGCTCACAATATGAAGGTCTTAGATTTTGGAAAAGATGTGTTGACATCTACCGTGGATTGTCAAACATGGCTATGCATCTTTTGGCAACCCCAGCGACTAGCTGTCCATCCAAGGATGTTTTTGATAAGAAAAAACACATCTTGACACCTCAGTGTACTAATCTTTTGTGTTTACATGTTGAAGCTCTGTTATATGTCCAAGATTGGCACTGTGTGTTTGGTCCTTTGAAATATCCTAGCTGTGATGGTGAGGAGAGTGATTAGTTTTTTTACTTCTTTCTCTTAGTTTTGTTTTATCTAGTTATTTTGCTATATACATGTTACAATTTATCTACTTTTACATGAATACATGTCAGCAAATATATGAGAAATCTGTCTGATAACCAACAGATACTGAGTTTTGTCACCCTCACATCCAAATACCAAACCACCAGAGTATCTGGCCACCGGATGACTCTAAGAGCCTTTTGGCATCTGGATCTGATGGATGCTCTGTCAGATATCCAGCCAAAACCCGGGTCTGGAGCTCACCTTGACTAAGAAGAGGAATGGAATAGCACAATGGAGTTGAATATCATAAATAAAGAATTGGAGAAGGATTTTTGTCAAAATTAGGAAGTTGTGAAGCTGTGAAATGATGTAGGATGATTGTAAAGGGGAATTATATATATTTGTGTGCTTTGTATTGGCGTGGAGGGGTTTTTTTCTTTCTTTATCTTTTACAAGTTGTAGTTTTTTTAAAATAATAATTAATTTACTACCACTGTACTAGGTCACTTAAATCCGCCCCTGTAATTAGGAGAAATTGATTTAGTGTTGTAGCTTTGTGGGAAGAATAATTATTAAGCATTGCTATATTTATTTCTTTATATCTACAGGAATAACACTATTCCAAGTGTTGAGGCTAGTATCAAAATTGGTGCTTATTTCTCTTTATTGATTGCTTGAGTGTTGAGTATTATACATTAATACTTTGACACATGTCCTTGAGTGAATCAAAAAAGTTTTATCTCTCTTTCAAATTGTGTCTCAATGCCTCCAATAAAGTTCTTTTATTGTGTGTATTAGAAGAGCAGTCCATAGACATTGCTACTAGTTAGTTTTATTAGTAGATCATCCTCTCCAAGCTCTAAATCCCCTTGTTGGGTGATTAGTTCTACAACATCAGGCTGATCCCTTGATCCCTTACCCAGCTGGGCGGTGGGATGGATTTGAAATTTTATTTCCTACCCTCAGAATGGATAATGAAATGAACAGAGTTGTGGCAAAGTGATGAGGTATGAGGTCTGAAGAATTCTAAATTTCAATTTTCAGACTCTCTTTGTGAAATCTATGATTTGAGTTATGTTTTTTTACCTGATCTTGTGTTCAAATCTCATCCAAGGAGCTATGTACTAAGCCATTCTTTGGTTAGGACTTTCAATGATCAGCTGGTAGAAAGTACCACAAGGAAAGGGAGTGATTGTGTCAGTTTGGTCTTTGAAGAAAAGATATGTAATCTAAAGATAAGGCATGAAAATCTTGCAAAAGACTGGAGATTTTTAACAGTTTTTTACTGATTCAACTGGGGTGTTTGTTGAAGGTTGGGGTGGATAGATGTGGATTTAGTCTTTGCAGAGGTTTTCAAGGAGTCTTCCTAGCCGTGAAATGTATTCAAGATGGTTTTTGGGGTGGAAATGCAGCCTTGAGTGATGTGAATTTTGATATAAGTCACTTGCTGCTACATGAATGCATACTGCTCTATGCTGGGCCTACAGAGCAGAACTTTATGGTGCTTTGCTAAATCCACAATCTGCTTTGGGGAAGATCTGATGATGGCAGCACTATCAGATTGGGTAGACTGGCTACCCCCGTATTTATCCAGTGGTGGCAAGGTGGTCCGCTTCTCTGCCGCCCCACCACCACTTCTTGCAGCAATCCTTTGGCATAGGCTTCCACTGTGTCTGTATCCTTGTAGCACGCTGGTGTACACACTTAAATTATTTTTTTAGACCCTCAAAAGACCCTTCAAAGAGGTTCCTTAACAGGCACATCTTCCCCTCATCAACTGGTACATTGACACTCAGGTGACCCCAGCTGCTGACAAAGGATTCTGCAAATCCTGTAAATAAAAAGGGTTCAACAACAATCTCATTCTAAATCTGACCAACAGAGTTTGAGATTTGTTTCAAAACTCTCTGTGTGTGGATGCCAACATGACATGTACAAGTATATTGACATGGTGTTTGGTTTATGAAAGCAGTACAATTCGAAATATGGAGAAACTTTAGACAATTGGCTAGTTGAGATTGAGGCTGGACAAGGTTGCCAAAGCCTCAAAATGGACCTGAAAAATCCAACACACATCCACACCATACTGGTCTCAGGCAGAAGTAGGGGTTCAACCTGTAATTTCTCTGGTGTAATCTTTCTGCTCCTGCCTTGATACATGGTGCAAAAACCTATCACATTGATTTAAACTTACATCAGTAACTTTTGAGACTGTTTTCACCAAATTTGGTGCCCAACCTGGAACATTCCAGCAATGAATGCTGCACTGTCTGCAAAATAAAATCCAGTGCCTCCTCTGACACTGGTACCCACTGAGGTTCAGCTGGGGTGCAGTGTGAAGACCCACTTTTTTGCAGCTCCAAAATGGTGAAGGGCAAATGTTTGGGATTTGCAGCACCAATGAGATCTTTCTTGGTGTGGTGAAGATGTGGATCAAAATACAAAAGTAAGAATTGCAAATCATGCATACCCGCATGAAACACTGATTACAGCTGAAGCTAGTTGTAGCTGCAAGACTAGATTTAAACTCCTTGCCCATTGCTAGCAGTCATGCTGTAAGCTTGATTGCCTTCATTACAATCAAGTTGTTGTATCTGTGAAGTTATTTGGTTTGTAAGTTTCACTTTTATAATGAGCAATTGAGCTGATGAGTAATTTTTCATAAGATTGGTTTCATGTTTCATGTTCAAAACCATGAGATAAAGACTTCACATATAGAGATTATCTCATTTTGAGTAAATAATAGCTACATAATTTTACAGTTATGCTATATTGTTTGAATTCCACATTTAAGCATTTAGTCTTTTGGAAAAACATTAAATTCAAGCTGCTTTAATCAAGGGGATGAAAGATAGGAACTTGAAAAATAAACTTTTGCTCATGTTGCTATCTTTCCAGTGCTTCCAGATATATTACATTGCTTTGCTGAACTCTATTGATGACCACTTTACTTTTACCTCTTGGTCAAGCGCCTCAAAGCCCTTTCATCATGCCGAGTAGAGACCACAGGTAAAAAATGTGGTTTTGAGTTACCGAGTTGTATTTACATTATGTTGCCTCCAGAGACCTGAAGAGAGGGCTGTCGGATTCTGTTAATTCCAAGATGTGGGTCCGAAGCCCTCTCGTGGTATACTCCGCAAAGTGCACGCTGAACCATCGCATCCCGCTCGAAAAGCAACATTTCCAAGCTTTCATGAGTTTGATGGTTGCAAAGTTAGTATTCTTCATTTCAAGTCTGGTTTCCCCGATGGAAAATCACTTACCCAGGGGTAGTTCTGTCCATTGAATTGAAGCGCAAAAAAATAGAATAACCCAAAAATTGCGACGCCAGAGCTGATTCCAGCGGTAAGTGTCAGAGCGTACTTTTCTATTTCTCATTTATATGTCAGTTGTAAATCCTTTTGGAATGGGACAAGAACTCGAAGGTCGACATACCGTACCAAGCAGCGCACCGTTTCTTGACATACCGCTGAAAGAAGAGTGCGAGTGGAATCGCGGGCCTGATAAACCCAAAGCGAAATTTTTACCTGTTTTTTTTCAATTATCAAGGCGCCTTACTCACGTGTAATAACCCAAATTCAAGATTCCGTAGCACAAGAAGCCACTAAAAATGACGGGGGTGTGTACTAGCCGCCATGATGACCTAGGCCATATTTTCGAAAAGATCCAAGGAATGACCGGTGCAATGGCACCGATTCTATCATTTTAGATGTGTCAGTAAGTTTTTTTCAAAATTTACGTTCCAATCACTTGTGAGGATTTGGGACGGGAATAAAGTCGAACTCACAAGAACCCATACATGCAAAACCGGTATGGTGCATCAGGTCCAGTAAACATTCTCCGTGAGCCCACCACCCCCCATAGCACGCTTGAGGAGAAGAAGGCGTCGAGACCTACGGAGACATTCGCGAAAAGTTTGCCTATAAGCAGGGAGTGATTAGCTTTCAGATTTTGTTCCACGAGGCTCACCTGGGCAAGTGAAGTGGAGGGACTGGGTTGGTGAACACAAGTCGGGGATGTTTGCGATTTGCCAGTCCAGGACTACAGGAGAGGGTCGAATCAGGTTTCCGACACTATCGTATGGAGATTTCATGTCAGAAGTCACCGTACCTGCTATGGAAATAAGCGAGGACAGGACAGTCCCAGACAGCTGTGCTACGAATAGAGCTTTAGGAGGGATCTATTTCGATTCCCCGTACCGGATCAGCAAATTCGATCATACTCTACTTTTGAATTTGTAAAAGACCAAGGTTGTAAGTCACCTTCACGTAGTGGGCGAGCTAGAGGATAACAATCAAATTGCCGAGCTAATCAGTATGTGTTTCAAAATACATCTCACAAACGACCTTACTTTCATATCTGAAGCATAGCCGATTGCCTGGGCTGTTGTTATGTATCCGTATGCTTTGTGGGGATGGTGATATCAACGGCAATAAAATCTAGATCAAGAATCTGTGACGCCCTTACTTTTACAGAGCATGAGTCCTAGTGGACTTTTGTGGAAACAAGATGGACACTCAGATTTAGCTACTTTTTAAGAGGCGTGACGGCACCAGACCTACCGGCCAACCAAGGCATAACCAGCCACAAGCTCGGACAGTACCTGAAGTGACACTGATGAGCGGAAGTCCTTCTATTCAAAAATTCTAGTGGAGAAAGGGTTGCTCACGTTCAGTGTAGCGGATACGGACGCTACGGCACTCACTGTAAAGGGAGAAATTTTGAGATACATGAACATTTATAATTCGAGGACAACTCACTGATTCCAATCGGGACTATGAGGACCAACGCGATCGCAAAGGAAAATGCCTTTGAGAGGAAAAAGTAAATGCAGTTTTGGTGAGTCGATGGAAAATGGTTAAAATCTATTGAATAGTGAAACACACTGACCAAACCCCAAATTGGCATTGTCGGCATTTCTGATTCACTGTATGGGTTTACAGATGCTAGACGTCAGTTGGATCATAGAGAGCTGGGAGTGATACAGCACTTACTAATATTTGAGCATAAAGATAGCCATCATGATTGAAACAACTCCAACAAGCATGAACCACCATTCAGGCACTACAATGAATCCAGGGAAAGTAAGCTTTGATCAGCCCAAGAGTGACGGACAGGAAATCAGCGCTGACCTTCGGGGTACGCTTGCATAAGGCGGCAGTGGACGTCGCTATACATCGTATCTTCTTGGATGTTGGATTTTGGAAGCTTCTCTCCACTTGTTCTCTTCAACTTCTTGAAAAGGTAGCTGACTTGGAATGAAGAGAAAAGGTGAGAGAATCCAGACATAATATACCTGCGGTAATACAGCGCTGCATGAACAACATTACTGCTGTACAATGCAAAGAACGCGGTGTAGCTAGCAAGAATCGCAAACAGTTTTTCATGGGTAACCCTCCCAGAATCAACATTTTTGACGGAAAGCTTGAAACAAATGGCTTCTTACTCACCACACGATCCCGGAAGCCGACATATAAGGAGGTGAATACGCTTCATACCGGGCCTACTTACAGTATCGTTAGATAATTGACTCTGGTATCAGTTCTGTGGATGCTTGACAAGCTAACCTGATCAAGGATACCTGAACCATCAAGGACCATGCTAGTGTTGTACGGAGCTCTGATCATGGGATAGAAGAAAAAATAGATTTATGTATATTAGTCGGTTGTCGAGTCATAGAGATTATTAGCATACCCGTATCGATCAAATACACCTGATATATTTGACGAGCTTTATCAGTGTTGTGAAATGGCAAGCAAAAAACGGGAACAAAGACTTACCCCATGTATTGATAGGCAAATAGGATGTAGATCTGATGTTTTTAAAGTATATCGCGCAAATAGCCAAAAACCCACCACAAGCCCCGGCGTAAACGTTGATCTGAGAATATATAAATGGTTTAAGCTGTACTCAAAAACCCAAAACCAATGCTTCAAAGCCTACAATGGACCAGAGTGGAATGATTATCGGATCCAGAGCCATAAAACTCCAGTCAAGGGTAGGTACGGGGTTGAGCCCAAGACCGCTGACAGTTCCTGTGATCAAAGACAATTTGACGTTGTGTGGTGCGATCCATGTTGTCCAGCTATCTTCCAATACATCAGAGCCTGTGTGAAATTTAAAGTGCAAAGTATTCTCAAGATACCACGTACTTGAAAAATGAGAGACTTTGGAAGAAGACACCTGGAAGTATGTAGTCTGCAGGGCGAAAGCAACAATTTCATGAGACATCTTTCGCAAGAGTCAAACTGAGAGGAACTGACAGATCCCGTACGCAATCTAAAAAGAGGGTCGAGTGATTCATACTGTCAGTAAAAATTGGACATTGTGTGACAAGGTACAGGCGCCAGTAATGTTGGATTTACCGCACAGATAAAGAAAAATCGTAATCGCGAGATGCGCCATCCATTAACAGATTGGTTTTTGTCCGTCGAATGTAAGGCTCGCAGGACCGAAATTTCCGAAAGGTTGCCCCACCAAACCTTTGAAACATACGTAATCATCAGACTGGGATGTTCTCGACAAGAATCATTGACGGCGACGAGGAGCTTACCATGGCTGGTGGGTAAACGAGAAACCTAGAGACCGTATTCGAAGACAATATTTACATTGTGCACAGCGACTGGCCGTGGGCATAGGGCAAAGACACTTACTTTCTCGTCATACCAGCTAAAGTATACCCAATCAGCTGTGAGCTCAACACCAATGTTAATTGAAAGCCAATCTTTTCAGCCAAAGCAGAATTGTTGAAGAACCGCTTGATTCTAAGCACGGCAATGATGTCGGTCGCCTATCGCAAGCAGAAGTAATACCAGCCATTGTTGGACCAATCAAGTCTAGATGATTCTTTTTCTTGGGCATTGTTTCAAACTCACAAACGCTCCGCCAAACGATACATTGGCCATCTATGATCAGAGAGAAATATTATGATCTTCCGCTTAACATACGATTCTCTGAAATATGTAAGACGACTAACGATACTGATTAGCATGTGTTCCTTCATACTAGCGTCAACGGAATAGAATGTGAGTAAATGTTGCTCTCCGCCAAACGATATTGAAAAAACTCTGACTTGAAGGGACCGGGATTGAGGGTGAATGGATGATTTCCTATCCGGAAGACCTTTTCTGGTAGATATTTAGCCATCATACCTGGGGAGGAATGATCAGAAAACAAAGTTTACAACGGGCAAAGCACATCTGAAGAAACCTACATCCTATCGGATAAGCCACCAGCTGAGCCGATGTGACGCTCAGTCCAATAGTTGGCATGCGCTGTGCAAAGAATTGATTGACTCCGGTCCCTAAGCACACCAGGAAGATCCCGATCACCCACATCCTGAAGTCACGCATGGTGAATATTTACCCTGCCTGAAAGATAGGTGTGAAACTTACCGGAAGGTGAGGACTGGTATCGTAGGATCGTCGAATGGGTCAACACAAGCCCGGACCTGTTTTGAATTCGCACCTTCAGTTCAGATTTGCCTATCTCACCAGAGTACGATCGAGATGAAGGGATTTACTTCAGGGTATGGAGAGTTCTCTTGCGCGAGTTTGAGTTCTACGCAAATAGCATCTGCAAGGTCGATTATGTCCTGATATGGCACTCCGGGTCTGAGCACTTCCGCCGCCTGACGAAGTAGAGCGCTAGGAAAATTTAGATCATTTCTGAAGCCATGGATTCCGATGTAAAGGTGAGTTCACGGATTCGAGCTTGAGTGGCGAGTCAATAGCAGTGGATCGGCTGCTTACTCATTATCTTTGATTGCCTGACGGAGGTATTTCATCACTCCCTCCAAATCTTCCGGGTCGAATGCCTGCTCTTTCCAGACGGGTTGATCATCGGACTCGTCCTCGCCCAGTGCATATAGACCTATCCTTTCTTTTCCAACATGCCGAGGCTGAATTTTACAGTCCGAAGCAAATGAAGCACTTAGATGGTGGAAATCCCTGGAGCCCGAACTGGCTGGAGATCGCTGTTTATTCATATGGCGGATCGTAAACCCAGCTGATTGACCAGGAGGAAATGGCGATTTGCGATTGTAGAAGTGAGATTGGCAGAGGAGCCAAGGGGTGTCGTTTGACTAATCCAGTATGACTGAAGGCCCCCGCTATACTTAAGATTCGACGACTTGTACCAGAGGTCGTGGAAATTGAGTCGGATTCCAGGCGCAGCATGACAGACTCTCTGACAAAGGAGAAGGCACTTCAAAACAGAATATGATTCAGGAGAAGTGTTTCGAATTATATGTGTCTGGCGATAACGTGAATGTACAGCTTGCCATCCCAACATCTAGCGCATCGCATGACCAAAGATATCATCACTTGAAGATAGGTAAAGAGAAAAAAGGTCAGCAACAGGTTCTGGTCTTTGGAAAATCTCCGGCACTGGGCGGGACGCGGTTTTCCAGAGTGGTAGACTGCGAGAGCAGAGCCGCACTTGCAATTGTGTCAAATATGAGAGCTGATCGAATGAGCAATTGACTAACTCGTAACGACCCTCACGAGTGTTATGAGAGGACTTTTCAAACCCTTGTGTGAGGCTCCGATGTCGGCGTGCCAAGGCACCCACCGATCGTAACGGTCATCCGTAAACCAACCGTGAATTTTTCAGGCTCCCCATCCAAGATGTAGGTACAGAGCTGGCGTAAAGGCCATTCTGCCTAAGCGGTGGCCTAAGCGTAGGTAGGACATATATGCCGATCGTTTTGAGCTCCATTTTGGCGTTTGACAAAACATGCCTCAACGTCCGTAGTACGATATCGCTCGTAGAACTTCGGATGGTTTACTCGTATACTTGATTATAAGATTGAGAATTGAGAAGCGTGTCTTGATTGTAACCACCATCAACAGCTCGCTCGTTCGGAAGTAAGTCGAGCACAAAGATGAACCCTCGTCTGTCGGAATGGAAGCCCGGAGCACACAGGAATCAGATAAGCTACGATATTAAGTATTGGTACTGTCTGTCCCACTTGTGACTTACACAACATCACTACAGAACCCAACTTGACCAACTCCCTCCTACAGGGGTTTAACAATGCAAGCGATGCCAATTCAAACATTCATACTTGCACGGGGGTAGCGTGCAATTAGAGCACAAAATTGTTGTGAAGGTGAAATAACGACTTTTATTGGAGATATGATGTTCAACATCAAACCCATAGCTCAAAAAAATTCATGATACTCTCCGATAAGGACACTAAGAAGGATACGGCAAGGCTCGACAAAGCATGACCATTTATAAAGATTTTTTTTGCATTTTATCAAGTGTTACGCCAGGCAATTTAAAGTACTAATGATAGATGATAAGAGGAACACAAACAGCGCGTCTACAAATTTTGACCCCTGCGACAATCACAAACACCCGAATCTTAGTACCAAAAGATAAAAGAAAACTATCCTACTACAATGCTAATCTTTGAGCCTGTGACTTGCTACTCCGACGAGAAATCAAGTTACGTTTATCATGAGTGGGACTCGGAGCCTTTGTAGGGTCAAAGTCCTTCTCAGGTGGTGGTCGGGCATTTGAGGAATCATTGGATGACTGTGTATTTTGATCGGTCTTTGTACCATTTTGAGAGTTGCTGGAAGGAGTGGTGCTGTTTGCGTCAGAGGCTTGGTAATAAGTAGTAGAGTTTCCAGAACCCCCTAAGTATAAGTAGAAGAGTGATTAATAGGTTGACAAGAGTAGGTGCATCTCAAGAGAATTGTTACTTACCATCACTTTCTCCATCTGCATTCTCATGAGTTCCATCTGCAGTATCCTGCTGCATAGCCGCATCCAGAAAGAACCACCGCACCGGCCATGATTCGAATTTGTTGATGATAGAGTTTCCAGTGGCTTCTTTCCAGGCTTTCTCACTCAAGAGTACAGTTCGTCCCACTTCAGTTCGGTCGTTGCGATCAAAGGCATCAATAACCGTCAAGGTTAAGTTGTTCTTCGGTCCGGACCACTTTTGACCCGCAAGGTCTTCGAAGACGACCACTACTTTTTGACCACATTTGCTGATCTTCCCCGTGTAAAGATCTGACGGAAGAGCAACAGTCATCCCATCGTCTTTCTTTTGAGGCGGACAATGTTTCTTGACACCCGTAAGAGGAAGGGGATATGGGATACCGCTGAAGGGAGGAAGACTGAGCGATGGGGGTGGTGGATAGTAAGCAGAATAATCGCCCGAGGCATCGACCTTCTTAGGGACAGTTGGGGTATTGGACTTTTGCGTGCCTGCAGTAAAAACAAACCCCAAGAAAAGTGTCAGAAAAATGTCAAGTAGTTGAGAAGGAATTGCAATCGATTAAACGAACCATTGGCATAATGATCGGATTGATCTGTGTACGATGTGTAGTTGCTATATTGAGTGGAACTCGCATCCTTGACGTCCTCCGTAGGACTGTCGGACCCAGTATTGACTCCGACAGGAGCATCCGGTTTGGGGGCGTCTTGAGGCGATCTTCTCGCGATGTTATTGCTAGATAGTCCCATTGTCGAAGCATGTACTGAATTGCTGAGTTCGCAAAGCCCGCCGACGACGGCGCAGACAGCTAAAGGTGAGGCGTTGAACTTCATGTTGGTGATAGAACGAAAGAGTTGAAATTTAAGCGACGGGGTTTGTGGAAGGTGGTATCAGGTCAAATAGGATTGTAAGATGGGATAGAAAAAGAGTTGGAATACGATGATCTTGCGCTGCAAGTGCTGGTGAGGGTGGATGACAAATTGGTTGGAAGGTGAACAAATGATATTGGTGGTTGGTTATGACTGATGGTTGTTTGACTGGTGAGAAGGGAGTGAAGAAATTGTTTTTGGAGGCAGAAAGCTCATCTCTTATATAGGATCCTGAACACGCGGAAGCATTTCAACCTCACACCATGTTATTCTTCAGACTCAGAGGCGATGGCAGATGGCAAGCTTTCCGAAAACATAGATCGTCCGAATCCCAATCGATCGAAAAGTCGCAGATGTGAAGGCTTCCTGCAAGCATTCTAAAGTTGGCTGAATTCTCAGCCCACTTCACCTGATGCCTGCTTCAAGCTGTAGCCGTTGAGAAGTGGTCCAGTCTTGTTCGCCAAAGTCTACATCATACCCGTCTGTAATGAAATCTGAAGGATCGCCATCCGAATTTGAGCCTGATCATAGTTCTCCGTCAAGCTAGCCAGATGGCGGAGTACAATACCACAGGTGAAGAGGATCCATTCGAGATGGATGCAACCAGACTATCGACCAATCCGATCAGGTCGTCCAGCGATCCTGATGCCCCTGTGCGGACCTTTCCAAGGATTAAAAGTCAAGAAATGTTGTTACATACGAAAATCCATGACCCCCCGCCACCCGGTTGGTCAACTGAAGCCAATCCGCAAAATCAACACCATCTACCCGAGCCCTACTACTCCTTGCGAGAAGCTTGATACCGTAGCTGAAGAAGTTGATGACAGACAGGATGGCATGTAACCGATTTAATCCATTTCCTCAGAATTTTTGCACTGAATCTAAAACCACCGTTGCATGTTTTGATGATTCATGTCTTCTCATGATATAAAAACACGAAAAGTAAAGACAGATCATAAGCCAAGGAATCAGGTCATCGTCCCCATGTTCCTCGAACGTTAACTCGCATGACAACTGAAAAAATTGTGACACTGATTGGACCAATGTTGCTGCAATTCACAGAAGACTTGATGTTTGCCATATAAGATCGTGTCCAACACTGCAGCGTAAGATCCATTCACTGAGGCTCCACCAGGAGTAAAGTGAGTCTTCTACGATTTTTGAAAACAGTTAAAGCTTAAATCTTGCCAATTGTCTGTTGGCTCCACATGTCTCCACATCCAAGTTGGATGTGGAGACAAATTCAATCATAAATTCGATTACAGCATACCGTGTAAAGATCCAAACAGGAGAGAATGTTACACATTAAAAATGAAGCCAAGTGAGAATAGGAAACGGTGGTGTGATGCAACTCGAATAAAAGTTAAGACGTGAAGTTTTGCAAATTTAGGCTTGAAAGCTATGCTTAAATCATTGCATCATTGATTTTTGATCTAGCAAGTCTTACGTGAATAGTCTAGCTCTAGAGGATCTATTGAGGGAAGGGTTGTGTTGCGCAAGCTCCTCTTGAGGCTCTGCATTCCCCCCACTGGTCAGCATTGAAGAGCCCTCATAAGTATTTTAAATTACCCCTTTGTCTTCTGTGATCTAAGATTGCTTGAACATCATGTTCATCTACTCCTTCTAATGTGATTGGCTCCATGATGACTTCGTTTCCTTCTTCAATTGTACATATTCAATTAAAATTTAATGGCAGTTTCAGTCTGTAGGCAAGGGATGAATTGTGAGAAAACTTGGCAGTAGGAGTGGACGGCTTGTCAAGATATTTTTACTGTTCAACAAAACATTTCTTCCAACCTCCTGTTAGAGCAAAAGTTCAGCATCTGGGATTCAGACACAAAGACAGATTTGGAAGGAGCCTGGAACTGGAGCTTGACAGTTTATATATAAAAGGTGAACTAGGTCTACTGTGCCGCAGTTGTGTACATTTGTCTGGGCAGGCCTCCCATAACACTTCACAATCCTGTTCTTCTTGAATGTTCTTGTTGTAATTCTTCCTCATAATAATGTCTTGGCTGCTTTTCAGGTGGCATTTGATTTTTTCTTGATCTCCTTTTGATTGTTGAAAGCTTTGTTTCACCAGACACACATGTACCTGCCCATTACCCAGGGAAAAAGAGGGTATAACTATAGTTATTTGTGAACAGTGACATGCCTATTGCTGTATGATCTAAGTTATGGTGAAAGGATTCAAGTGTTGGGAGATGGGGTTCCAGTTGTCTTGCATATATTTGGTGAAAGGCATGATGTAGCCTTTCACCATGCAATTTGAGACTTTGGACTGCTCATCTGTCTGAGGGTTGTAAGACGTTGATGGCTACATATGTTCACAGGGGCAAAAATTGATGCTCACAACTATGTGAGTGTTGAAATGTTCCTGTTTTGTTCCCATTTGTTTCCCTTTTCTTTCTGCTTGTCAGCTGATTACGTGATCATCAGGAACTGAGCAGACAAACTAAGCCTTCCTCAGCCTTTATTCCTGAGCAAAGAAGTCTGAGGAAGGGCTGATCCATCTGCTCAGCTGATCCTGAGCAGCATTCCCTGGTTCAATAAGTTCCAAGGAATGCCACTAATGTATAGCTTAGGGGCTGAGCAGAACTGAGTATTCCCTTAGCTAAGTCTCTGAAGCATCCCCCAGACAGATCACAGAGCGTCAAGCTTGCCTCAAGCTTCATGGCTCCGGAATGAAGCCTGAGGCCCGTCTGCTTGTTCAACTGAGCTGCTCAGCTATTCCTCAGGGGCATTCCTGAGATCAGAATGCCCCGGAGGAACTCACTGCTCATTGGCTGAGGGGCTGATCAGTTCTGCTCAGCTGCTCAGCTAGTCCTCAGGGGCATTCCTAGCCGGATCAGAAGGATCCAAAGGATGTCACTGAGTATTGGCTGAGGGGCTGCTCAGTTGATCTCAGCCCCTCAGTGTGAAAACTTTATCCGGGGATATCACTGAGGATTAGCTGAGCAACTGAGATAAACTGAGCAGATGGGATGGCACTTTTATCAGGCTTCATTCCTTAGCAAGGAAGTCTGAGGGAAGTCTGGCCCATCAGTGATCCAGTCAGGGGATGCTACTGAGTATTTGCTGAGCAGCTCAAATGGGACGCCCCTGTGCAGGCTTTTTTCACTGAAAAATGAAGCCTCAGGAAGTTATAGTTCATGTGCTCATCTTCATTTTGAACAAATTGCTGAGTATTCAGTGACCCATGAGCTGATCCTGAGTACTCATCGGAAATCAGTTATTGCTCATCCAAGATGGAAATAAGCCTTCTCAACAAATGTCAAGTAAAATATGAGCACCACAGGCTGATCACCGGAACACAACCAAGATTTTGAATTGAATCAATCTGAAAGAAAACAAATCTTTTTTGGAGAATTCCAAAAAGTCTACAACGCTCACATGTATGTGAGTATCTATTTTGGCCCCTGTGGTTGCAATCCTAACTGATCACTCAGGTCCCATGTTATTCCACTGACAAAAATTGATCTTGTATCCAACACAATGCTGTTGGGGGCTTGATGCAGTTTTCAGATGTTGCCAATCAACAATCTACCTAGACCCACTAAATTCATGTCTTTTCAACAAGCAATGAAGTGGTAATTTTTGTCAATGTCTCTACTACAGTCAAAGTAGAGTTGTTACCTTCTGATGGAGGTAAGTCAATACTTATATCCACTTATATCTCAGCATTGGTAATGGCTTTAAAGATCCAGATACTTTGAAGTCTGTGACATTAACCTTTGGCAGGAGGCACACATGTCCACTTATTTTTGATCAAGACAATCACTAGTCTTAAAGATGTGTGTGTGTCTTAAGACTAAAATAATGTGATGGTATTGTAGTGGGAGTGAGTAGTGGGAGTGAAGATGTGATGTAAGCTATGTCAGTTACTGGATGAAAGACACAAGGGGGTGGTGGATTGTTAGTATGAATTGGTCAGTTCAGGGGTAGATTTGTTTTCTTGTTTTTGTTCTGCTAAATGTATCAAACTCTGTTGTCCTTTGGATCTCTTGTTGCCCATATCTTACAATTTGGAACACAATATCTAACAGTATTTAATCTCATTCCCTTTTGTTGCCAACAAATTGTGTTACACAACTAATGTGGTTAATCCAGTTTTGTTCCTCATTTTTCTCTCTCTCTCTCTATGTTGGTTTTTATTTTACTTTGAACACCTTTTGTCTTCAGGTTGGTGAGCTTAGAGCTTTGTCTTCACCATACTCAGCACTGTCTTGTCAACACACCACTGAGGTATCATCTGTTTTTACTTTGTTTTAAGGTTTGTATTGTGTTTGATTCCTGCTGTGTTTCTCTTCTTCTGTTCCCCATGTCTTACAATTTAGAACAAGACATATAAAGCTATCATTTTACTGTATACTCCTTTGGTCTTCAGGTTAGCGATCTTAGAGCTCTGTCTTCACCATACTCAGCACTGCCTTGTCAAAATATGACTAAGGTATTTGTCTTTACCTTCTTTTATGGTTAGCAAGCTTAGTGCTCTGTTTTCACTCTAATCTGTGCTGTCTGGTCAACACACAAATGAGGTATTTGGGTTTCCCTTGTTTTAAGTTGTTTGTCATTGAGTCAAAGTCAACTTCTTTTGTTCTTCACATAATTCTTTGCCAAAGGTCACAAGATCTCTCTCTCCACTTGGGATGGGGTTCCTTCCTGACCAGAGTTCCAAGAGAACTTGCTGTTATGTTGATACCATACTATCTCAAACCTTGATTCATTTTTATGAGGTACTACTACACAAACCTGGAAGTACAAGACTCTATCTTGAGCTCCTCTGGGATTATAGTCACATTCAACTTCCTATTCCAGGAAGCAACCAATTTCAAGACTGGCTGATTTCTTGTTGTCTCAGTTTTTTTGTTTTTGTGTTTGTATTCCCACTTTCAGCTTTTCAGCTTTCAGGTTGTCTCTCTTTATTCCCACTTTGAGATTGTTTCTCTTCATCTTTTCAGTTT